AATTATATCTAAATTATTATGTGGGTGTCTCACTCTCGTACAGCGCACGAGTGGAGTAACTAGTTTTCTTTTAGTGAGACGAGTGTCTCCAATGCAGTACATCTCCAGAACCAGCTTGAAAGTCTGGCTCTTCATATGACAAAGTGCTTCATTAACGCGTCGTAGTCAAAGGACGAGCATCCCCGACTAGCGTGACATTTTTTTAATGTATTGTCATCCTTTTTTTCTTCCAACAAATACCGTGATTTGCGGTTAGCGGCCTGGTAGCACTTTACTTTTGAGGTCAAAAGTTGGAGAAGCTTCTGATGTGAAAAGCTAATTCCACTCATGAGGTGCCAGGTATCCTAAGAAAATGAGTTGGAGAAGCTTCTGATGTGAAAAGTTTGAATATGACTTTTTCATCCCGTATTGACTAGATTCTCATCCTTGCGATGCACGATACATATTTTAATAAAATAATGTAATATGGTTGTTTGAATCAATTAACAATAACATCAGAGATAAATAAATAGAATTCATATTTGAGTTAAAAGTGAACAATTATATAATAAATACGGAGTAATACATAATTATATAATTAAGAATAAAGAGAAGTAAGAGTTTTTTTATTATATCAAGAAAACATGCAAGACACCCTCTAGACCTAACATTGTAAGCAATGAAAATTAAATAATTACAATTACTCACATTAATGCAGTTTGAAATTGTAAAAACAACATTATGACCAACATTTTTGTCCAATATATGAAATAGATAATTCATATGATATATATGCAATCTTAGTTTTTCAAAGTTAAATGATATAGTTTGAATATTTTTTTAAATTAAATAAATTAACAAAAGATAAATATGTTCATATATTCAAAACTATATAAGTGACCCAAACAAATGACCAGGTCAAGGGTCAACTGGGACCCTGAGGGTCAACCCCGTAAAGACTGGTAAACCTGGTCAAGACCGGTAAGGCGGTAAACCCGGTCAAGACCGGTAAACCCGGACAACACAATATATATAAATATACTACCTCCGTCCCTTAAAACTTTGCCAAAGTTGACCGGCACAGAGAATAATAACGTAAAAACTATGTGGTTGAGATTTGTGCAGAGGAGAGAGAAAAAACATAAACCACAAAATAATTGATTAAAAGGGAAAGTGGCAAAGTTTTTTGGGACGTCCCAAAAAGGAAGATGACAAAGTTTTAAGGGACAGAGGGAGTATAATGTATGGTTACATTTTTAAAGCAAAGAATATTTTTCTTCCTAATTAATAAGAGTTTTTTACAAGAACATTACTAAAATAAAACATATTTACATAAATATGATTATTCATTACTACATTGTGTTGTTGTGGTAACTTAAGCTCAAAACTTGAACATGAATTACTATGATTTCATTACTACTCTAGTCACTAGTCATATTTTTGTAAATCATCTTTATTTTGGTCATATTTATGTGATTATTTCAATTAATAAACTATTACGTAGTATTATGTAGTCAGTAGCGGACATGAAATTCTCATTTTGGGTGTTTAAATGATTTTACAATTAAAACTTTAATGAACACTAAATAATTATATTAAATTTATTGGTGTATATTCTGACATTTTTAAGAGCTTTGAGTGTTCATGTGAACAATTTGTATCAATAGCATGTATCATTAGAGCAGTTTTAATGCTACAATGTGCACGGTGCACATGTGATTTGGGAGATAACCACATAAATATGAGCAAACAAATTATCTCTCTCCTTACTTGAATTATTTTATACAATTTTAGTAATTTTTTCTTCACAATGTCAAGAAGATCGTGTAGATATTGACATTATGATTGACATTGCAAAGAAAAGCTTATTAAATTTGTATAAAATCATTTAAATAAGAAGAGGGATAAATTATTTGCTAATACTTATGTGGCTATCTATCATGCCACATGTGCACCGTGCACATCGCACTATTGGAGATGCTCTTAGTTTTCATATTATTGTTAATTATTAATTAATAAAGAAGGCTACTCTTAAAAGAATAATTACTTTTAAGAAGCATTATATTTCAATAAGTTGGAGTAGATCAGTTGGTAGTGTGGTTGCTTTGAGGTATGGGTCGGGTCCGGGTTTCGGCCGGTTTTATCGGTTATATCCGTTTTATACTATGTTAGCGGTTTAGAGGACAATTGGATCAAATCAATTGCCGATTCACCGGGTTCCGGGAAGGTCTGGTTCTTTAAACGTATCATAGCTACTCCCTCCGTCCCCCAATTAAGTTCCAGGTTTGACTTCACACATATTAAGAAAATAAATTTGACTTTACTGTGGAGTGCACTGTTTGCACTGTTCAAACACTGTTTGGACACTGTTTGACACTGTTTTGTACTGTTTGACACTGTTTTGACATAGATAATTTGCCAAATAAGGAAAGTAAGGAAGTGTGAACTTAATTTAGGAACCGCCTAAAAAGAAAAATGGTAACTTAATTATATTGCGGGACAGAGAGAATATTATTTATTTAACCTTTTATTGGACTTTACTCAAATCTCGATGAAACTCAATTTTTAAAATATTTGGAATCATTTTAACGACATAAAACTATATTCAAATTAATAAGTTCAGCCCATCCAAAATCGGCCCATCAACGCTGTCGTAGTGAAAGGACGAGCATCCCCAACTAGCTTGACAATTTTTTTTAAATGTAACGTCATCCTTTTTTCTTCCAACAAATACTGTGATTTGCGGTTAGCGGTCTGGTAGCACTTTACTTTTGAGGTCAAAAGTTGGAGAAGCTTCTGACGTGAAAAGCTAATTCCCACTCATAAAAAAAGAACGACACCCCATCCGTGAGGGCCCCTCAATCCCGATCAGACGGTACGTTGAGATGATGTAAATTGGACTATAATCCCAATCTGACAGATAGAGAGTGGGGTTCTGCCCCGGTACTTGCAGAGGCCCTATGCATAGCATAGTAACCCATCATCGCAGTTGCCGGGATTCGAACTCGAAACCTAACCCTTGTGTCACTTCCTTGCTACCAGTTGAGTCACGCCCACCGGTGCTAATTCCCACTCATGAGGTGTCAGGTATCCTAAGAAAATGAGTTGGAGAAGCTTCTGATGTACCGGTGGGCGTAGCTCAACTGGTAGCGAGGGAGTGCCACAAGGGTTAGGTCCCGGGTTCGAATCCCGGCAACTACGATGAAAGGTTACTATGCTAAAAAATGCATAGAGCCTCTGCAAGTACCGGGGACAGAGTTCCACTCTCTATCTGTCAGATTGAGATTATAGTCCAAGTTACATCCTCCCAACGTACCGTCCGGTCGGGGTTGGAGGCCCTCAGGGATGGAACGTCATCCTTTTTTTTTTGAGAAGCTTCTCATGTGAAAAGTTTGAATATGACTTTTTCACCCCGGATTGCTGAACGCACCTTACTTTTGATGCGTGTGGTACGCAATTTCTACACTTTGTACAATCTGATTCACACTAAATATTATTCCTTGAAGTCACATGCCTCAACTCCAATCAAGTATAGTCTACACGTAGCTCCTGTTATCACCATTATTCTTACGTAGTATATGTATAATTATGATCATCATCATTATAACTTATAAGCGTTATCATTTATCGATAGCATACTACGTATCAGTGTATCACGTAGTATTTTTACATTTTTTAAATTTTAAATACCCATGATCTAAATTTTTATAATACTCTCTCCGTCAATATATAAAAGTTTACATTTTTTTCACACATTTTAAGAAAGTGAGATTGATTGGTACTTTTTGACACTGTTTGGACACTGTTTGATCCTGTTTGACACTGTTTTGGGTTGTTTTGTTTGCCAAAAAAGGAAACGGAACTTTTATTTAGAGACGACCCAAAAAGGAAACAGATGCTTTTATTTAGGGACGGTGGGAGAAATAATAACACACAAATATTAATAACAATAACAATCCATTATTAAGAGAGAATTGCAATATAGTCTTGTAATTTTAAGTTGTGCCCATTATTAGTCACGTAACTTTCTTAAATTGAAGAGTTGATAATGTAACTAATTAATAAATCTTTGTAATTTAAAGACTTTTTCACTGGAATGTATACTTTCCGATACACAATTTGACGCCTGTGACATTTTTTGGCAAGTTTATGGCTGTAAAGTGTACTTTCCGGTGGGAAAGTCCTGAAATTAGAAATATTTATTAGTTATAGGACCAAATCTACAACCAAGCAAAGTTAGATCAGAGGATTTATAGCGGGTACATCCGAAAGGTTACGAGACTAAATTTGCAATTCTTTCACATTAAAAACAATATGGTGTAGCGTAGTAATTATATTATCAATTATAATAATCATAACGAAAACATATCATGTTTGATTAATTAAAAATATATAACATGCAAATAATGATGATAATAATTGTAATAATATTATTCAAAATTAATTATTATGCAAAATCTACAATAATAACATAATAATAATAATATAGTGCCCGTTTGGATAATATATAGCGTTCTATTCAAAACGCTGAATTATTTGAACTACAAAACGCTATAGTTTGCCGCGTGTAGCGCCAATCCGCTGCAAAACAAACGGGTCATTAGTGTAAAAACACTATTATGTTTTACATAGTAAATATACATAGCAAGAATTGATACTTTAATGTTTATAATAACTATAAATACTAAAAACAACAATAATGATTATAAAAATAATATTAATAATAATACGGAGTAATGATTATTAATAATAACTTAGTCTCTTAGAGCCCGTATGGCACGCCCTATTATCAACTTCTCTGTTATGTCAGTCAACTTTTTATTAAAATACATAGCTTTTAATTTCGCGCGCTGATTTGGCTGATGTTACTATAATTATTTTAACTATTTTTCATTTAATCATTTTCGTATTTTATGAATCAAAAATGTATTTTGAATATAAATGGTGACAATAAATGGCATTGAAGCAATGAAGTTGTTTGCTTTATTTGGATATGTTTTAGTCAAACAATAATTTCGTATATAAATAGCAATGCTACAACCGTATAACAAAACTTGTAATCTCGTGAGAGCAAATCATTTAGTTTGAAAGAAAAACACATATAGCGGCATCAAGGAAAATGCTAAAAGTAGAAAGCGGCTGCCTGCTATTCTTACTCGGCTTGTTTTCTCTTCTTCACCACATGCACCTCGTCTTTGGTAACGAAGAAGGTTCGATACAATTAAACACCTAATTAACTCCTTTCATTAATATTAATCATATGGTTCATTAGAAAAATTGATGTGCATGAATATAATGCCCACTCACCATTGAAAAAACAAACATATCATCTCCTAATAAAAAAACAATTATTTGGAAGAGGATCTAAAACTTTTCAAATCTATAGTAGGCTGAAATTAAAAATAATTTGTTTTTTTTTTCAATTTCTTTTGTGTAATTTTTTTCATTTTGCATGATTAGCCTGCCCGCTATTGTTTAAGTCAATCATAATTATTGTTCGATTCAATCCATTCCATTCCAACTCAAATTTCTGGATCGGCTTCTATCTAGTTCATTATTGACTTATTTTGATCCATTAGATCTGAAATTGGAAGAGGATTTAAAACCGCTCTTTTTACGGAGTATTTAATATTTAACCGACGAGCTTATAAGTGATCTATATATGACTGTTTTTACGTACAACAGTTGAAGCTTTAATTGTTATGAAGAAAGCACTTCATGACCCAGGCAATGTTCTACAGAGTTGGGATCCTACTGATCTAGTCAATCCCTGCACTTGGTTTCGTATTACATGTGGTCAAGTAGGTCGACCGGATTACAACTATGTTACTCGAATGTAAGCCTGTGCATGTTTATTTTCGGTCAACTCCTACATAGCTTATTTTGGATTTATGAATGGGACACGCATACCAAATTATTTATTTAATAAATTAATTTACATGTTTACTTTCAGTTATCTTGGAAATGCAAACCTCTCTGGTTCACTCGTTCCAAATCTCCAAAACCTTACACATTTGCAGTATTTGTGAGTTCAAATTATACTTTCATTACTTTCATAGCATCAAATGAAAATTAAAATATGTCTACTTAGGTTCCGGATTAAATAAAAACGACTTCTAACGTGAAAACTGTAAATCATTCACTTTCTTTCATTGTCAATGCTCTTCAAAGCTCGACTCTTACACTATTTGAAGTTTGATAGAATCATGCCAAATAAAAAATGCGGTGAAATTTTTGTTAGCGGTTTTCATTTTTCACGTGAAGAGTAATTTTTGTTTGATCTACACCTTGTCTGTACACACACATTTAAGACAATGTTCATATATAAGCTAGACCTAAAACTTACAAATTTTAGGCCTCTTTCATTTGAAGTTCTTCCGGATCGATTTTTTTATCAAATTTTGTGAACATGTATTTCATCAAATATAGATTATCTCCACCAAATTTCAAATTAAAATTTAATCCGGCATTCAGTTAAATAGAATATTGAAAAAAATGCATTTTTTATACTACTCTATATATAAAACCGTACAATTTTCAATAATTTATTTAATTGACTCCCCGATTAAATTTTAAACTGAAATTTGATAGACATAACATAAACTTCATAGAGACCATGCTAACAAAATGTCATCAAAAAGGTCAATTCGAAGGCACCTCATATTAAAGAAACCTAAAATAGTATCGTTTAGGTCTACCTTAGATGAATATTTTTCTTATGAAAAAAGTTCATGTCCGGAATTTCGGATAGGAATCGTCGTCCGGAAGTCGAAGTTTGGCCAGCTTACCAGTGGAATTTTTTGATGAAATTTTTAGGGCATGTTTGACATCAAGTCTAGTTTATCCACAAAACATTTCAGATAACAATTCAACCGGGAAGATAGTCAAACGAGTTTTGGAAGATAACTGTGTAGTTATATGTATATTTTGATGCAATTATCTTCCAAAAATTATTTAACTGCCTTCCAGATTGAATTTTTAGCTGATTGTTTTTTGATAAACTAGACTTGATTAAGAACATTCCCAAAAAAAATCATCAAAACCTTTCACCTGGAAGGTCCCTATTAGTCGCCGTCCGGACGAGGTTCCGATCAGGAAGGCCTGACCGGAAGATTACTCTTTTTCTTATAGACACATCTAATATAGGCAGCCCACACACACACCACACTCACATTATACACGCTCTTATGCACAAGTGCATCAAAGAGGTATGTATTTATATTATGAAGTTGCATAATAAAATTGAGTGATGTTATTAAGTAATTATTATCATTTTCCGGCCAGGGAGCTTTATAGTAATGCAATCAGTGGTCCGATACCTGAGGAGTTTGGCAATCTAACGAACTTGGTGAGCTTGGATCTGTACGATAACCAATTGACCGGTCAAATACCCCACACGTTGGGCAGTTACAATCATCTCAGATTTATGTACGTTTGACCTTGCTTAGCTTTCTCTAATTACGGATAATTACTCAACGTACTCTCTCTATATCACCCGTGCATACATAGTTTGAGATACTGTGAAAATATGTTCAAATTAAATGCATCGAACAATGGATTTACACAATATATAAACAATGCAAAACATAGGATAAAAGCGGCATTTTCAAAAAGATCAAATCTTATTATTATCGCAAACGTTGCAGCGCAATGCACATACTATAAAAAAGAAAGAAACTCGGCCGAACAGTTATTTCGGAGGATGTAACAATGCACATATTATAGTAATATAGTGCATACTGGCCGATGACCAAATGCCCAATTGTATAGTTAAAGCATGTTTTCAATTTAATTGATTTCAGTTCGAGATCAGATCGTAAACTTAGATAAATTAGATCAAATCAAGCCGAATCAGACTTTGACTGTTGCAAGATATATACAAAACCGATGTTTATCAAACCAAACTAGTTCAAATTAAAATAGTCTACACCAGAAATTTTAGTCCAATTAAAAGCATCCTAAATTGTTATTTGAGCCATACTATGTACTTATTTTTTTTGGATGAAATGTAAGTATATATATATAGAACCATCCAAAAGAGTTTAAACTGTACAGCAAAAAGGGTGAGCAAAATTGCAGGCTATCCAAAGATTGGATAACCCATCACCTCCAAAAAATAGCTCATACGCTATCTAGGCAGCCTATTCTATGTAACATCAATCACAAAATTATAAGATGGTGGCCAGAAAGAAGTTTATCAAAACATCACTGAGTCATGCAGATAGAGACTATACAAAATCTTGTACACAATGTACTTGATTCTTGCAAAAACATCCTCTTCTTTAGGATTTAGGCCATCAAATCTCGCAGCATTGCGTGTCATCCAGATCCAATATATGGAATAGCATAGTGCAATCCTTGAAGCTTTTGCCTTGACTCCAGCTCCACTCCTTTCCTTCTTTATCCATTTCACCGAGCTAGTCAATGTCCCCATTTGTCTCGGCATTTGCAACCATGTCTTCACCATATTCCAAACTTTCTCTGAAAAGGACATTCAAAAAATAGGTGTGGCACCGTCTCCGGACCACCCTTACACAATATGCATACATTAACTACATCTAACCGGTGAAGGTTGTCATATATATGTAGCTAACCTATTTCGGAATGTCAACCAAGTAGTAAAGGAAAACTTTGGGGGAATGTAATTCTTCCAAATAAATGACATCCACGCACGAGTGGGCCCTTTGTTTCTAAGTAAATCATAAACGTTTATGGATGAAAGTTTCTCCATAAATTGGAAACTTTGTAGGCATTGGATTGCTTGGGGGATACTTTCAAAATGGGACAAAATCTCATCTCTTATCAACACAAGTTTTTTCATTAATTGCGAGTCTCTATAGTTTGGGGAGAAATCTCACACTATACGAAGTATATCTTTGAGTTTTTTCATCAAGTACTATGTACTTATGTGAATATATGAAGTATATCTTTGAGTTATGTTTAAGCTTTATTTTTTATTGAGAGTCGTTGAGTCGATATGAAATTTTGGGAGATGGAAAACGATTTGACTAGAAATTAGTTAAGAAGGACAACTCTATATTCTTTAATTAGTTTATTTTGGTGGTATTCGCAGGAGGCTCCAAGACAATAGATTCACGGGCATTGTTCCTAGGTCTTTTATCACAATACCCACGCTCCAAGTCTTGTAAGTGACATCATGAATTTTTATTGTTGCGGAATCAAGATAAATTTGAGTCAAGTGTATGTGTCTGGGTCCGATTATAGTCTAATTAGTTCAAGTAGGCAATGGAGTTAATTAGTGCCAGTTTTGGGTCATTTACAATATAATATCTGAATCTAGGTCTTGTAAAATAGGTCATATAATCATATGGGAGAATTTCAAATAGAAATAGTCAACTTCTTAAAAGAAAAATAGAAGTAGGACTAGTATTATCCGGTAACGCAATGTGTATAAACAAAGTAGAGCTTAACATTCTTACATTGTTTCTGATTTCATATAAGCACTTTAGGTATCTTTTTATGAGGTGTTTGGAATTGATTCTACTATTGCTTATTTTTAAAAGCAGAAGTAGTTACATAATCAAAATCATTTTTCAAAAGTTGGTCTTCTTCGACTTCAAAAAAACTACTTTTGGGAGCATGTTGGAGACTTGGAGCCCTCAGAAGTAGTTATGCATTCTTACAATATCTGTTTTTACTCCCTGAAAATGTAGAAGCAGTTTTAAGAAGTAGATCCAAACACCTCATTTATCTTAAAATCTAACTATTTGAGTTACCACCCAAAATTAGGACCATGTCCAACCCTTAGTACTCAATAAATTTTGTTTTACTCGTTTAAAATATAACACTTTAATTTCTAGCAGTTCAAACCTTATCCGAGTCTAAACTTTGATTTATTTACCAAAATATCATAACAGCTTTTTTCTAGTGTTTTATTGACATGACTCGACCAAAGTTTGATATTAGAAGTGAAAAATACAGATTTTATAGTGCATGAAATTGAGTAAATTGAGTAAGTATGTATAAAGTGAAAGAACTTGAATTATTTTTTCTGTTAAGGAAATCATCATCATAATCATAATTAATCATCATCATTATTACGTACTATACAATACTATCACTATTAGATTAAATATTACTATTACCATTACTACTATAATCTGCAATGAGACTAATAGTACTCAAACTCATGATTAACAGAAACGTTTCTGAGAACTGTATAGATACATCAGTATGGAATCCACCCGAAGTCGTTAATTTCTTCGCAAACTTTGGTGATGATAGGTATGTTTCACGTAATATTTGAAGTGCGTACGTATTATTTAGAACTATTTTAAGTGTAAACATGTTTTATACACACTTCACAATCTTTCACCCAATCATTTAATGTGTCCCTAATTTGGATGAACAAATGACAAGTTGTGTGTAATTAAAATTCAAACTCACAGATGAGAAATATAAACAAATTACATCGACATGCATAGGTCTACGTGAAAATTACAAATATGTATGTCTGCAAATTAGAGACTATATTAGCACATGGATCTATGTGTCTGTGCACATAAATGTAATCAATATCTATGTAGCTCTAGCTTGCTTACAAGAATTATTATTCAATTCGTCCAATGAGTTCAAATGCTTTCGTATTGGTATTTTTCAAACGAGATAATTTCCTAACTAGGACTAAAACTTATAAAAAGTGCAATAATAGGACTCTAATAATCCGTATGAGTGAAAAGGGATGACGGGACAACATTATCCTTAATGAATAAATCAGCTTTTTCATTAATTCATAGTACAAAATAAAACAATAAAACAAAATTGAGGTCCCAGCACAATCCTCACACAAGGAACATAGCCATCTTTGGTGCCACCTGCACCGCCACTACTAGCGTCACCGTCGCCGCCACCACCACCGGCGTCGCTGCCGGCGCCACCTGCACTAGCGTTAGCTCTGTCCCTACCATAGGCGCCACAAGTTGCTCCATCTTTGACCTTATCTAGATTTATCGTCGACCGCCTCCATATTCGGCATCACCGCCGCCATATGTGACGATGTCGCCGCCTCATCCAGCACCAGTGTGCCTCATCTAGCCCCACCACGGCCTCCGTTTATCTGACAAATGTAGATTTCGGATCCGATTTCATATCTGGTATGGCCCCCACTCAAGTGCCATCTTGCAGTTGAAGTGCCATTTTAATAACATTATTGCCATCCTGATACAAGCAAGATGGCATTTTCATATTAAAAAACAAGGCATTAATGTGTTTTCGAATGAGTAGTAATGCCATCTTCATAACATTAATGCCATAAAATGGCATTCTCAAAGTGAAATTTTCAAATTCAAAGGAGTAACATTGTAAAAGTAATCCCATAAAAATGATACAATTATGAAATAAATTTGCAATATATGATATTTAATGGGGAAACTAATAATAATAATAATAGTAATAATAATAATAATAGTAATAATAATAATAATAATAATAATAATAATAATAATTAGAATAATAATAATAATAATAATAGATTAACCATGTATTCACAAATGTTTCTGATTTCACTCCGAACTCGTGTAGAATTTGATGTGATCATATCTTGCTCTATTTTGTGCCGTTGAGAGCGTTTAATACCTCGTTGGAAAGATCTTACCGAGTTCTAAAACTTGTCTCCAGACGCTGGTTTCAAAATATCAAGGGATGATTGCCTAATTACTAAAATACATTATATTTACGCTAAAAGTGCTCTATTTTCGCTGAAATCGCTAAATCATGGAGATAAGGCTAAGTATTTGTGAGACTCAAATCTTGTTGTGTGTTTATCCGTTTGGAGCGTATTATATCTCGTTGGAAAGATAGATCGGAGCTCTAAGGATGTTTTTACTTGGATCGTAATTTACTGGTCTGGTCTAGTCTGATCTGTTTTGGTCTGATCTGGTCTCCGTGGCTGATTTTCTTTTGTTGCATGTTTCAGTTTTGCAAATAATCCAAAACGGGGATGTTAGCTTTATAAGTTAATGGATGGACGGATCTCTTCGGGGCTGAGTCTCGATCCTGCAAGGCCGGCTCTCTAGATGGCTTGTTTCACCGTGTTCGATCAAGAAATATCAATAAAGTGGGAGAGCATATTTTTGTCCGAAAAGTTTCTTGTCAAACGTTTCTGGGAATGTGCTCATCCTACAAGTTTATTTCGGAGTAATTTTTTTTAAGTTTGTGAAAAAAGTTCTCTGGATGTGTTCAGAGTTCATCAATTTATGTTTGATAATAAGTCGTTTGTGTGTACTTTTCTGAGTATATGGGGCGATTGGTGTTTATGTTAATTACGTTAAGGCTCGGTTTGGTTCACGGAATGTCAGATTACGTTTATAATATAATGTCATATTGCTAGGTATGTTAGATTATATTGATGGAATGTATTCAATTATATCTCATTTGTGTTTGATTGAGACTAAGGGAATATCACATTAATTTGTTTGGTTGAATGATATTTATACTAGAGATTTTGTGATTTTCTTTTAGCACAATAAATTTATTACAACCTGCATTTAAACAAACTTAAATTAAAGAAAAAATAAAATACCTTAACAATGAAAAAAATCAAAACTAAATGAATTATGATTAATTGTACAAATGACAAAGATACATATAAGTGAACATTAAAAAAAATTGTTTAAATAAATACATAATGACATACATTAATAAATAAATGTGAATATATCATTACCAAAACAGTTGTATAAAAAGAACAAGTCAATGTTGCTCTACTTAATTTTGCTAAACTCTCTTTTTAAATTATCAAAAGAGTGAACTAAATTCTTAAAAACAATAGACAAAATAATAAGAAAAGCATATTTAAATCTGCTTATATGATTCAAAGAAAAATTAGAAGGTTAAAGAAAAACCAAAGAACGGCACAATGTGTTGAAAAAATGTATAGAAAATTAAAATAGATTAAAAAGAAAATTAAGGAATAATCAAAAGAAGATTAAAGATTAAATTTTGAGGGAGCAATTACTTGATTTAGAAAACTCTTGTAAAATGAAGAGGAAAAAAATTGGACAGAGTTGATTGGAAAGGAGACCTAAATAGGATTGAAGAGCTATTATAGAATGCTAATTAAATTAACATGAGTAAGTTTTAATCAAGGAGGGGGGATGTAAGATAACATAAGAGGTACATGAGAATAGTTTAAATTAGCATGTTTGACATTCCAAGGCATGTCACTCCATTATTTTCTACGGGGTATTTGGGAATATAACATTTTCAAAACAATTCAGACCCGTGAACCAAACGTGGACATCTCACATTACGCACATTAGATTCTGACCTCCATAGATGATTAACCCCAACCAAATATAGGTAACCCGTATCCCATATTTCCTTGATATGATGATGGATCATATTTTGTTCTAATTAACCGACATGATATATGTAGGTAACCCGTATCCCATGAGACTTTCTTATGATATTTTCACTTAGACTCATATTAATTTCTGACAAGATCAGTTCTAAATAAACTAGATTAGACTACAATAAATAAAATTTTAATATAAAATTCAATTAGTCTATCCAAAAGTCCTTAATAATAATAATTTACAAGGTGCACCTAAGGCCTCCATTGATTCGGGGAAGACATTACTTGAAGAATGTAGGAATGAATTAATATTCCTATATGCCAAACCAATAATCTTATATATATCTCCGAGATCCCATGGCCACATCATAAATGCTAGTTCGCAAATTATACCGTGCAACAGGCGCACCATGAGGATGGTGCGCCCGGTTGCAAAACGACGCAGCTTGCCCCGCCTTTGTTTTGCTTTTGTTGTTAAAAAATGATAATAACTTTTTTATTTTTGATCCGATTTTTATAAAATTTATATCAACATTTTTTATTTTTCATGATCTTTCAAATGAGACCAATATTGTTTATGTAATTTTAAGAAGTTATCGAACTATTATATTAATGAGTATTGGATTATAAGGAAAATTAAATCGAATCTGTTTGGGAGATGATAGGTTTGTGAAATAGAAGATTGAATCTGTTTGAGAGTGGATCAGTGGCCTCAGTTACATTCGATAATACATTGAGTTACATCTTTTTATGAGCGAGTTACATCTTTTTATAAGCAAGTTACATCTTTTTATGAGCAAATTACATCTTTTTATAAGCAAGTCACATCTTTTTAAAAGCGAGTTACATATATATAAACACGAGTTGCATTTGACATGCCTGAACGCGACTTACATATATTTACACGTAAAGTTACATATTTTTACACGTAAAGTTACATATTTATACACGCGAGTTACATATTTATACACACGAGTTGCATTTGACCTGTCTGAACGCGAGTTACATATTTTTTTACGTAAAGTTACATATTGTTACACGTAGAGATACATATTTATACACACGAGTTGCATTTGGCCTGATTGAACGTGAGTTACATATTTTAACACGTAAAGTTACATATTTTACACGCAAATGTTAATATGTTAAAATTACATAGGCAATATTGGTCTCTTTGAAAGATCATGAAAAATAAAAAATGTTGATATAAATTTTATAAAAATCAGATCAAAAATAAAAAAGTTATTACCATTTTTTAAAAACAGGAAAAGAAAATATAAATCCGTACCGGAATACGGTGCTCACCGTAAACCGGTCGTACGGTATAGGCACTCTGCTAGTTGGTCTGATTTGTTCATCACCTGAAATGATAATTATATACAATTACATATTAGCCATATTTGGTAATCGTATTATTAAAGGTTACCGCTGGAAAATCAATAATTGAGTTTTTTTGAAATTTGTCACGGATCTGTCCGTGACAAATGCCCGGAAGCAAAAAAAGTATTCACCGGAGTAAAAAACCGGTCGCCGGAGTAAATTTGTCACGGACCAAATCCGTGACAAAATATTGTCACGGATTTATCCGTGACAAATAATTTTCGTGACAAATCCCAAAATTCCGTGACAAAGCCCGTGACAACTTTGTCACGGCCGGAATCCGTGACAAAAATCCGTGACAAACGGCGTGTTTTTTTGTAGTGAAATCGAATCTGTTTGGGAGATGATAGGTTTGTGAAATAGAAGATTGAATCTGTTTGAGAGTGGATCAGTGGCCTCAGTTACATTTGATAATACATTGAGTTACATCTTTTTATGAGCGAGTTACATCTTTTTATAAGCAAGTTACATATTTTTATAAGCAAATTACATCTTTTTATAAGCAAGTTACATCTTTTTAAAAGCGAGTTACATATATATAAACACGAGTTGCATTTGACATGCCTGAACGCAACTTACATATATTTACACGTAAAGTTACATATGTTTACACGTAAAGTTACATATTTATACACGCGAGTTACATATTTATACACACGAGTTGCATTTGACCTGTCTGAACGCGAGTTACATATTTTTTTACGTAAAGTTACATATTGTTACACGTAGAGATACATATTTATACACACGAGTTGCATTTGGCCTGATTGAACGTGAGTTACATATTTTAACACGTAAAGTTACATATTTTACACGCAAATGTTAATATGTTAAAATTACATAGGCAATATTGGTCTCATTTGAAAGATCATGAAAAATAAAAAATGTTGATATAAATTTTATAAAAATTGGATCAAAAATAAAAAAGTTATTACCATTTTTTAAAAACAAAAGGAAAAGAAAATATAAATCCGTACCGGAATACGGTGGTCACCGTAAACCGGTCGTACGGTATAGGCACTCTGCTAGTTGGTCTGATTTGTTCATCACCTGAAATGATAATTATATACAATTACATATTAGCCATATTTGGTAATCAGATTAGTGGTTAGTTGTTAGCTGGTTATGTTAACGATTTTGATCAGCAATTTATATTAGTTAGTTTGATTTGTTCAAACCACTCTGGAACCGCTACCAAGGCACTCGAGTGCTGAAGATGGGACGACGGAGTGGGAAGTTGTGAAGCTAGGCATTTAATGCGAAGCGGCGTCACAAATGGAAAATTCAAAATTCGAAATCTTGTTATTCTCGTGAAATACAACACACCTAATTTTAGAGAGTAGTGGACTCGTGATGGTACCATGGATCACAGCTATGGCCCAAGATTGAATTAAAGCAAAGCCCATCAATGGGATCAGCCCATCAACGGGGTTAGCCCATCCACAGGATCAGCCCATTAATCAGGATTAATAATAAACAACAGTTGTTGGGCCTAATAGGGATCAGACTGGGCTGGACAGCTAACCTTGAGCCTAAGCGGAGTTCTAGTGGGGTTGGATTCTTCCTAGGGCTTACGTGGCAGACTCTCATTTGTGCATAGATATCAGGCAGCGAGAGGACATAATGGAAGGAACGTTGACCTGAGAGAAACAATCATTGCACAACGTTCGAGACGTTACATGACTATTTTAATTAATTGAATTAAATGTTTCAGTTTCCTCCTAGAACACTGGAACCTAAGGTCTATAAATACTTCTTTTACACATGCATCCTACCAAGAATCCGAATTCCGGAATAATAATACTGTCTTACACTGCCTAAATTTCATTTGGTCTCGTAGATTAGCTCTCGTAATTGGATTAAACTCTATCATCAGTTAAATTATTCAAACACAAATGAAATAAAGACCATGCAATTAAGCCCTCAAGAAATTAACTCTAGATCATGGTAAACCCATTCATCGATCCAAATCCCCAATTAAAACTACTCACACTTCATAATTGAATTAACAATGGAACTGATAAAGAAATAATTAATTATCATGAATTCAAGGCTGAAAAGCTCTCAAAAGTTCGTTGAGGGGTTTATCTATCTAAGCTCATGTTCAAAAACATGTGAAAACAAGTTGTATTTAAAGAAAACAACTAAAAGTGGCAAACTTGGGTCCGCACAGACGTGCGCACGACGTGCTGCCGATCGTGCAGACTACCTTAAAAATCGTCGTCAAAAATCATTCGCCCGTCCGCATGGCATGCGGACTTCGCACGGTCCGGCTGTGTGGACCTCTTGACAAGCATGTTCTGGAGCGCGAGGTGTGCGGACTCGTCATTTTCTTGCTCTTTTCTTTCCCGTTCGATCCCGATCGATCCCACATTCATTCTTTAACTTCGTTTGACTCTAAAATCGCTTCCCGTAAATCTCCGATGCCCCTTATCAACTCTTGAACACGTCCCGAATCTTTCCAAATAAATCTCCAATTCTGGTGACAGACTTAAATTCCTGATTTTAACTCTAAAAATACCAAACACAAACCAAAACCCGATAAACTATGACTTGAGCTAATTAAACGCTTTGTGACACATTTAGGTTAGAAAAAGTGACAAAAATCAATCTCAACACGAATCAAATGTGTGTTGAAATACGGACTTATCATAAACCAAAACGGGAACTTCTTTATGGGATGCAAGGAGCATGTTTTTTCGTGAATGCTAAACATAAAAA